CCACTGAGCCACACCGGCAGGATCACAGTCCATTCCCTCTCTGTGGTCAGTGAGCCTGGCTGAGCGGGCTGAGTGTGAGGCAGTGCAACCTTCAACCATGCCCAGAACCCTCTTCCTCCAGAACCCCGGGGTCTCTGGGAAAAATTGGGAAAATAGCGTTGATAGTGTCAGCGACGTGAATGCCGGGTGTGGGTTTGGAAGGGGACGATGGGAGGTGCCAGGCCACCAAGCGGGCCTCCTTCTCCTCTCACAGAGACGGGAGGTTCCTGCAGTCCCTGCCCCGGTGGGGGCATCGATGCAAAATGACTTCAGGCCGCACGCCTCCGGGCGGAGTTTGGAAAACACACACACACACACACACACACACACACACACACACAACACCCTGACCTCCCCTCCCATAACGAGAAAACAGGGGTGCACGCTGACTTTGAGAAACCAGCCTCGAGCTGGTCAGAAAGAGAGGTTCCTGTCGAAAGCATATTTTGTTCTCCTCGTTGCCAAATGAGACTCCCGGCTTTCGACAGGATTCCGTGTTGTGCACGGGAGGCGTTTGCAGGAATTACATCCTTCACGCATTCATTTCGCCACAATCCCTGAGCCTGGCCCTGGCTGGCGTACCGTAGACATGGCTAGCTGGCACACCGTAGACATGGCTAGCTGGCACCACCCCCCAGATCTCATTGCATTAAAATACGTTAATATTCTAACTCAAGCCCATAAAAAAAAACACCCCAAAAAACAAAAAAAACAACCTCTGGTTATAATACAATACCAACAATTACTTTGGGCCATAAGACGATATTCAGAAATACATATATATATATATATATATAGATACACATATATATACATATATATACATATATATACACACATTACATATATATACATTACATATATATACTATATGTACTACACGCATGCACAAGAATATATGATTTTATCAGCATATGCTAAGCAAGGGTGCCGTTTGCACTAAAGCCTTCAGAGAAATCAATCACCGAATTAAGAACATTCTAGTCCGTGCCCCGTGAGCATCGGACAGAGCCCTGGCAGACGCTCTCCCTGGTTGTTTTTGGACATTGACTGTGTTTGTGCTGCCGTTTTGAATAAAACCCCCGCCATTGTGTCAGGAGGAGCCAGGGGACTGGAGCAAACTGTTCCTCCTCGCGAGGCTCTGAGAGGCCGTTTGTTCCGGAATCGGCCTGACGGCGTTCAACGGCTTCAATCGAGCGCCTTATCCACTTTTCTTTGAAAGACGGCTTTTTAGTAACGTACCCCCCCACACCCTCCCCGCCCCCCCACCCCCACCCCCAATGGGCAACGTCTTGTTTTGATTTGGGAAAGCAGGTGAAATTTAAGACCCAGGATTCGTTCACGTTTGAGCTTTGATAAAACAATTACATAATTCATCCGAGGGCCGAGGGCCCCACTGTACGTCGGGGAGGGCGGGCGGTTTCTGTCGAAAGGATTGCCTCAGGCCCAAGAATTTCTCCGAGTTCCTGATTCCTTCCCGTTGTCCTGCTGCCCCGAAGAATGCCACCTAACTTGTGTAGCCTGGTGGGTTTTTTTTTTTTTTCTCTCTAACTACAAAACGGGCCCATTCTTTAAGTTCTCAACAATAGGAACCTGACAGCGAAGAGGAACAAAACACTTTTCACGTGTTTTACAGCCGCTGCACGCTCCGTCGGCAAACCCCGTCTCACTCCCACGTGTGTGTGGAAGTGAAAATGGTGCCCCTCATGCACCGAGGCCCCGAAAATCCTCGCAAAATTAATCCTTTTGCAAGAAAGGGAGCCTTGAGAGCAGACTGCGACGCGAAGAAAATGCTGTACCAGACACTTGGCACCTGGGAACTGGTCCGTGTACTCAGCCCTTTCTGATTCAGGAGGAATCGTTCGAGTTACAAATTCAAAACTGGTCACGAAGGGACGCTCTGCAGACACGGGTGTCCTGTGTCTTTAGTTACATGCATATCTCAGGTACAGCAATGCGTTTGGGTAAAATTATTGCACTGTGTTCTACTTGAGTTTCGTAGAAGAACCCGACGGCCTTAAAGCTACGAAGTACGAGAAATCTAAACATGGGTGTAGAGAGCCGGTCGGTGGAAGACCCACAGAATAGACTTGAAATACATCCCAGCGCCGCCCCAAGCGCATAAATGTTAGCCCAGCCATCGGCCATGGAACCCAGGGCCCACCAGACCAGCATTGCTTTGAAATCATTTGTACAGAACCCCTCCTTCAATTGACAGCAAAAATAAAATAAAATTATTTCATGGTGACACGCATTAAAAAATGGCAAACCAGAGCCCCCCAAGTCACCCCATCCTATTCATGGCTTTGAGACTGGGCCACCGGGACAAGGCCCCACCTACATATTCATTCACCAGTCTCCCTGGAACCCGCCAACTCCGCCAGGCTCCCCCCACACCCCGGGCCCCCCTAGGCCCCTACCGCCCACCCCGCAAACACATCTCCCAGAAACACAGAGGGAGCGACCCATCAAGCGGCATTTCGCCGTGGGGTCCGGGGCGCCCCACGGACACGCCAACTTCCTCGGGGCGCACCCCCGGCAGACACGGGGCGCGGGGAGGTGCCTGCATGCGGTGCCCACAAAGGCGAAATTTTATCGGAGATGAATGACCTCACCCTCCTGCCCGGGCTTCTCGGGGACACAATGATCTTCTTGCCTCTGTGTGTGTGTGTGAGAGAGAGAGAGAGCTAGAGAGAGAAAGCGAGAGAGAGAGAGAGAGAGAGAGAGAGAGAGAGAGAGAGAGAGAGAGGCTTAAGAAAACAGCGCCCGCTGCAACGGCAGGGCCCTCCGCCTCCTGCAAGGTTTGCAACAATGTTGCCACAGCCCCGCGACTTTGCTACATTGTATCCAGCTCAAGTTCACCAGCCGTGCACTTCCCCGCAAGCACGTTCGCTCTCCCTCCCCGGGCCCACGGCGTGTCCTCCCATGTCCCGGGTGGGTGGGGTCCGTGGAGCTGAGACCCTCTGCCCAGGGAGGCGAGGCGTGGGCACCGACCGCGGGTGCAGCCCCCCCTCCCTCCCCCGGCCCCCGGGTCCCCGCTCCCCGCCCCCAGACCTGCCTGGGGCGCAGCAGGGGTCTCGGTTTCCAAGGCCACGAAGGGGTTAACCCGGGGCTGTCTGGGGCAGGAGAAAGGCGATATTGTTTTCTTTAATCTTTCCGCGGTCGGAGCGGGACTCGCCTCCCGTCCCCGGCGGGGAGCAGGCAGGGGAGTGGGCCGGGCCAGCCTCGCGTGCAAGCGCCGGGCTGGGGCTGGGGCTGGGGCTGGGCTGGCTGGCGGGGTGGGGGCCTGGCTGGAGGCCAGACGGGCGGGGGCTCTGGGCATCGTTAGGGCCAAGCCTTCAGGTGTCTCCAGACCCCAGGGAGGAGGGGGGGGGGGACGATGGTGGGGGGGGACGGCGGCGGCGGGGGGGTGGGGGGGGAGGGAAGGGGGAGGGGAGATGCCGGGAGAAGCAGACAAAGAAAAAAAAATGGTGTGTTTCACAGAGATTCGGTGAACATGGGTGTCCGGATCCTCTTTCCAAAAAAGGGTCCCCGCGTCTGGGCCGTTTATCATGGGACCCCAAGCCCTGCCCGGGGCAGACCTGGGCAGCCCTCGTGAGGGATGTCTGGAGCCTGGTAATCCCTTTGGATATTTGAGGGGAAGTTCACATACCACTCCCCCCCCCCCCGCCCCCCGGAAAAGGCTGCCTTCCCAACTCGCTCGCTCAGGGCCGGCTGGCGCTTTTGTGGCTCCACCGCGTCATCCGTCAAAATCACACGCGAGCTGGTTTGCCTTTTCATTCCTTTTCGGGGACTTGAGCGGGTAACTTTTGCAGGTTTGGGGCGATTCCCGAAGGAAAGGCACCGTGCATGCGTGCATGCATGGCTCGATGAGGCTGGCCGGACCTCCAAAGGAAGCAGTCATGTCTAAAATATTTGTTTCCAATTTTTTTTTTTTAAAAAAAGGACACATAAAACCTGCTTTCTCTGTCGGTCGCTTCTGTTTGAAACCTCAGCAAAAAATAAATAAATAAATAATAATAACATATCTTAGCATGCCGGCACCTCCGATGCTCACCTAAGCATCCTGCCTGCTGCAAAGATGGGGTCCGGAATTATTTCATTCTGCCCGCATTCTTCCCTAAAGAAGCTGCCTGTGCCCCCTCCCCACCCCCCACCGCCTCACCCCACCCTTTTAGGAATTTCCACACAAAAAAATAAATGTGTGTTGTGGTTTTTTTTTTATCCGCGGAAGGCCAAACGCTAGTCTTTCCCCTCCGTCTGCACCCTGGCCACCCCGCCCTGCCCTGCACTCCTGCCGGGGACCTGAGTCCACATTTTGCGCACAAAAGCCACACGCCCGTCCAGCCCCCTCCCCCCACCCCTCGTTCTGGCGAAGTGCAAAGTGGTGGTTTTTAATTTTTTTTTTTTTAAAAGAAAAGAAAGGAAAAGAGCGCCGTGACTCGGAGCCATTGTTCGGAGGAATGGAAGAACTCTTTGCCCCGAGCCGCTCATCATAATAACTGTCAGATGTCGGGGGAGCCGGCGGGGCCGCCGTCCGTGGAGTCAGCAAAGTTTGCCTTTTGATTTTCTCGTGTCTGTGTGTGTGTGTGTGTTTGGGGGGGCCGTGGGGGGAAGGGAGAGCGGGTCCGATCGGCTCAGACATAAAGGGCGCAAAGGGGTGCGCCGGGGACACGCGCGCCTGCCTCCGCGTTTCCTCCCGAACAAAGCCGCGCCCGGGAGGGGCGTCCGGGCACCGTCTCCCGCGACCGCTCTCATTGTCCATCCTCCCTCCCTCGCACCATCCAACCCGCAACGATCGCGCCTGGAAGAGGCCCCTGTCGGCCCCCTAACACCTCCCCCCTCCCCCCCAACCCCACCCGCCACGCGTGGAAAAAGCGCGCCCTCCGACCCCGCACGGGTTCCCAGCTGCTGGCACCCGACTCTCGGCATCGGACGGACGGACAGGAACGCGCACTCACGGTTGCAACACGGTCCTGATCGGTGCCCCGGTGCCTGGTCCCCCGACGGCTGGGGCTTCGGGCCGGGCCCCGCCGCAGGGGCAGGGGCAGGTGCAGGACCCGGGCCGGGCTGCAGAGAGGCGGTGGCGGGGGCGGGGGCGGGGTGGGGGCTCCCCGAAGTCCCTGGAACTCGGCCCCGCGCGCGCGCCCGGGCGCCCCGGCTCCGGCGAGGGCCGGACCTCACTCCCCGCAGTTCTCAATGGAACTAAATCGCAGCAGCGCCCGGGAGCGACAGGGGCGGCCGGTCACGTGGGGGGGCACGCGGCCTCCCCATTGGCCGGCCGGCCCCAGCCCCGCCGGCTGCCTGCTCGCCGATTGGCGGGGAGTGGAAACTGAAAGCGCCGGGGCCCGCCCCCTCGGGTGTATTTGTTCTCCGGGTGCGAGGAGGACCGGGGGTTTCAGGGCGACCGGCGCCCCGGAGAGGCGTGGGGAGCCCGGCTTTGGCGCGGCTGCGCTCCCCGCGCTGGCGCCCCCCGGCCCTGCTGCTCCGACCGGGATCCCCCCGTTTGATCCTCTGAGAAGCGTGTTTGGGGGTTTGGGGGGGAGGGTGGGGTGTTTTTTCTCCCCCCAGTGAGCTCTGTAGGTGACACACAGTCAGTGATGGGCTCGTGCCCCCGCGGAACTCGGTCCCGTATGGAAGCTCACAGTCAGCGCTTTTTTTTCCCCTTCTTTTTCTTTCAAGGATGAATAATGTCCAGCCCTTAATGCTCATGTCGGAAGAAGCTTGATTTCAGTTCTAAACTCGCAGACCCAATGGTCCGTGCGTGACACGAGAGACTGAATTTAACTTTTTTTTTCCAGGCAAGATTACATGTTGCAGAAGCCGGGGTGGGGGGCTGGGCTGGGGGGGGGTCTAACGGGAAAATGTTAAAAGGCAACAGTAACCGAGGAGTCAAATCGGGGGCTTCGAGAAGCACGGATCAAGAGGAAATATAATTTTCCAAAAGTCATTCTCTCTCTATACACACACACACACACACATGCACATATATACACACAGATATACATACATACACACCTATATATACACACCTATATACATATATACACACCTATATACACATATATACATACACATATATACACACACATATACATATACAGTATATACACATATAAACATATACAGTGGGGCCTTGACTTACGAGTGTCCCGACTAACGAGTGTTTTGATATACGAGCTGTCTCTCGGCCGATTTTTTGCTTTGAGTTGCGAGCTAAAATCCGGGTTACGAGCCAGCTTCAGATACCCCACCGCTAGCTGGCGCAGCGAACATCACAGTGAACGCCACATCAGCCCAGCATCACACGTCTCACTCGTTCACTTTAACGATTTGACATACGAGTAATTTGAGTTACGAGCTCCGTCCCGGAACGAAGTAAACTCGTAAGTCAAGGCCCCACTGTACACACAAATATATATACATATAAACACACATATATATACATAAACACACATATATATACATAAACACACATATATATACATATACACACAAATATATACATATACACCCAGATATATACATATATACACATACACACACACATATATAGATGATTGGATTCGCTTGCGTCGTAAGCCCCTCTGGTGCATTCGTCGGATTTGGAGCCGTGGGTTAGAGAGCATCAGTCCCTCATTCCCAGGTTAGAGGCGAGGAATACCCCCCACTCACTGCGCCCGCCCACAGTTACCCCGCAGGAGCCGGGGGGACATCAGCAGAGCAGTGGTTAGAGCTCTCCCGCACCCCTGCTAGGAGTTCAGTGAATCGTTGCAAAAACCCGCGGGGTCCGTTTCATTGCTCTCATTTCTTGGTGGCAGAACCCAGGCCCGGCCGCTGTTCTGCGACTGCCTTGCCAAACTTCAGTCCATAGGACAGGGATTCCCTGTCCACGTCGTCCACGCGGAACGCCACCTTCCAAAATAATAATGCTCGCCCGGCCGGTGTGGCCCAGTGGTCGAGCGTCGACCCGTGAACCAGGAGGTCAGGGCACCTGCCCGGGTTGTGGGCTCCATCCCCAGTAGGGAGCGTGCAGGAGGCAGCCGGTCCATGGTTCTCTCTCATCATGGATGTTTCTCTCTCTCTCTCCCTCTCCCTTCCTCTCTCTCTAAAGATCAATAAAAACATTTTTTAAACGATGTCTCTCACTCCCAACATTTAGTACAACTGCGATGACAGGGACCACACTGAGTCTGTATCCTGGGCACGCAAGCGATTCCTCGGACACCGCTAAGACTCCTGACTCGGCCTCAACCTTGTGCTTGAAGGGGAAGGCTGCATGCAGAGGTCTGCCTTTCGCACATTTACATACAAACTGTTTTCATTAGAAAATTAGCAGTTGGTAGTCATGTTGTGTTGGCCATGGGTGGTCTGAGCTTTGGGTGGGAAAATGGGGATCAGAGGGGAAGGAGGGGTGTCCGCCCAGGAAGTGCCTCCACTGTTCCGAATTTATAAGGAGCACATGTGTGTGTGTGGGGGGAGGGGGCGGGGGGGGGGGGGTCAGATCTTAGGAAGTCGGGCCATGCGAGCCGAAGAGGCAGACGGTCCCCTCCTTCTTTGCTCCTTTGAACTCTGCGAGAGACGAGCCTTTTGACGAAGTTAGATTTTTATGCTGGAGAGGCTGTGGATTTTCCTTGGTGTGTTATCTTGCCGTGAGTGTGTCGGCCATATTTCCTACAAGTCAGTAAAGGCTAAACATTGGGGCACGAAGGATTTCCCAAAGATGCCTATGATTTATGTAGGAGAAAGAAGAAAAAAAATAAAAAAAACACAACTCACTATTTTGGTTTTAATTTTTCACGTGGAAAGTGGGGAAAAGTAGGGTGAGCTACTATGGCCTTAAATCCCCCCCATTGCCAATGCTGTCGTTGATGGGAGGCAAAATGCAAGATCTGTTTCCTTCCGATCACAGGAAAATGATGATGCAGACAGCACGAGTCTATGAACAGAGACTTGAACTTCTTAGAATTAAATTCACCAAACGAAGTGTCGTTATCAGTTAGTCTCAGATGGAAAGAACGCAATTATACAGATTTGTGTTGGATTATCTTATTAGAGTTTGGTGTGGGTTTTTTGTTTTAATAATTTTTTTTATTAATTTCAGAGAGGAAGGGGGAGGCAGAGAGAGAGATAGATACATCAATGATGAGAGAGAATCATCGACCGGCTGCCTCCTGCACGCCCCCTACTGGGGATCGAGCCCACAACCCGGGCATGAGCCCTTGACCGGAATCGAACCCGGGACCCTTCAGTCCGCCAACGCTCTGTCCACTGAGCCACACCAGCCAGGGCCAAGTTCTGACATATCTTGCTATCACTGGACGGCAAGTGCTAGCTCATGCAGAGGCCTGATTCCCAGGTCACGGCCATCCTTATCTGACCCTCAGCCACACTCCAGCAAAACAGAATCTATAAGAAGGCAGGTGAACCCCTCCACAGCCCCGAATCCAAGTCCCGCCACCTTACGCGCCCCTCCCAGCTGCTCCATTCCTTCTCTTCCATCGACAGCGCTCACGCTGGTAGGCTTCCCCGAGCTCTTGGAATTTCTTCCTTTCTTTTCTTTTTGGCTCAAAAACATAACTAATTGTTGCTTTCTTTTGGTGCCAAGATGAGTGTGGAAATAACCCCCTGTTTCTCCTGAAATGTTTGCTCGGCATTCTGCCGGGCTGGTTCTGCTAAAAGGAGCGCGTTCTAATAGCATTGTGCTGCGGGACAGCGCCTGCGTGACGACCGGTAATGCGTTCAGGCGTTGATTCATTTGGCGAGCCGGCGGCGGAAAGGTTTAGGGCCCAGTGGTTCTCAACCTTCCTAACACCGAGACCCTTTCATACGGTTCCTCATGTTGTGGGGACCCCCAACCATACAATGATTTTCGTGGCGACTTCATCACTGTCATGTGGCTACTGTTAGGAATCATCATGTAAATATCTGATATGCAGGATGCATTTTCATGGTTACAGATTGAACATCATGAAAGCATAGTGATGAATCACAAAAACAATATGTAATGATAGACGTGTTTTCCGATGGTCTTAGGCGACCCCTGTGAAAGGGTCGTTCGACCCCCAAAGGGGTCGGGACCCACAGGTTGAGAACCACTGGTTTAGGCAGTGACTGCGTGGAGAGAAACATTTGGATCAAAGGTAAGATTATTTCGGGATCCTCAGTAACACCTGTGATGAACCTGAGCAGCTCCGGCTCCCTCGGTATAAATGGAGTATTCGGGCCGTTGCAACGTCTGGACACGTGGAGGTTGAGGTGCTTTTCAACAGTATTTGGAGAATTGTAAATATTTATGGAAACTTCTGCTGGATATTCTGTTAGACTTCCTGGGTCTTCCTCATTATTTCTGTTATTTCTGTTCTTTCTTTCTTTTCTTTCTTTCTTTTTTTTGTTAATCCTCACCTGAGGATATTTTTTTCTATTGATTTTCACACAGAGTGGAAGGAGGGGGAGAGAGAGAGAAACATGGATGTGAGAGAGACACACCGATGGGTTGCCTCCCCACACGCACCCTCCCGCCCCCAGGGCTGGGGATCGAACCCACGACCAAGGTGCAACGTGCCCTTGACCGGAATCGAACTCGAGACCCTTCAGTCTGCAGGCCAATGCCCGAACCACTGAGCCAAACCGGGCCAGGCCAGTTTCTGTTATTTCTTTTTTTTTTTTTTTAAATATATTTTATTGATTTTTTACAGAGAGGAAGGGAGAGAGATAGAGAGTTAGAAGCATCGATGAGAGAGAAACATCGATCAGCTGCCTCCTGCACACCCCCTACTGGGGATGTGCCCGCAACCCAGGTACATGCCCTTGACCGGAATCGAACCTGGGACCCTTCCGTCCGCAGGCCGGCGCTCTATCCACTGAGCCACACCAGTCAGGGCCAGTTTCTGTTATTTCTTACTTATCTTCCAAAATATCCTTCAGGCCATGCACATGACTGACTTGGCCCTTTATCTCACCAAGGCAAGTATCTTACAGGCGATTCACGTTAAGAAATTAACTTTTCTGGCCCTAGAAAATAAAATCGAGACGGACACAGGCCTGAACGGGGCACCCCAGCACTTCTCCAGCCTCTCAGCCCAGGTAGGTAGGTAGGTGGCTGCCACAGACACACACACACACACACACCAGGCTGTCTGTCGAGGTCTTCAATTATGA